GCTGTGATGAGTGACGGCGGAAGTTGTGCCGTTTCTAATGATCACCTTTCAGGACCCCCCAAACGGCGGCGTATGCGACCAGCTGGACGACGAGACCCTGGAACAGTACCGCAGTGCTTTTCGCCTTATAGACAAGAATGACGACGGCGTCATCTCGGCGTCGGAGGTGGCCAGTGTCATGCGATTCCTCGGCTACAAACCAACCGACGACGAGATCCGCAACATCATAGCGAAAATTGATCAGGACGGTTCGTGGTAGACGTCGAGGCGTCATGGACGGTTTTTAAGGTGGATCGATTTCAGGTAATGGAACGATCGAGTTCGACGAATTCGTTCCGCTGATGTCCAGGCACTCGAAGAAGGCCGACAAAGAAAATGACTTATTCATCACTTTCAAGGTAGCTGGAACCACTGCAGCAAGAGGAAAAGCATTGATGAGGATGCGACTTCGCATTTGTTTAGGTGTTCGACCGGAACGGGGACGGATATATCACAAAGGAGGAACTGAGGCACGTAATGGAGAGTCTCGGCGAGGAACTGACCGACGAGGAAATGGACATGATGCTGAAAGCGGCCGACAAGGACGGCGATAATCGCGTCAGCTTCGATGGTACGCTTCAGTAATTTTTGCCTCGTTCGTCTTAACAACTGCTTTAGAGTTTAAGAGCATGTTCGCCAACGATTGACTTCATCGACGGAGCGACGTGTTGCTGTTTGCGTCGGTAGTCCGCTAAGCTACTCACTCACTTACTTGGGACTAGAGTCTGAACCCCGTCATCGTACCGTACTCGTTCTGTTGGCATTGTTTACCGTCTGCCAGCTAGTCTGTCACGCCGGTTCGATCGTTCTGCAAATGAGGCTTATTCAAGGCTATGCCGTGGCAGTAAGGCAAAAACTCTGATGCTCTGGATGGAACGCTGAAGTCGACAGTTGGACGTGCTTCTTCAGAATTATTTTTAGCAGATTCAATGTGCATCATTTTGGAAGTTGTTTTTATGACAGCCATGATTTTAGTCACATTCTCAAAATGCTGCATAATTCACTCATCCACCATATAGCCATAAATATTGCCAATCTTCAAAAACTTGACAGTGAGTGAAATTTAGACTAGTTTAAGTTTTCCGCCAAGAACCTCGTCACCGTCATTTATCAACTGGTAATTCTTGCATCCTTTTATTGCACAGTCGTTGTGCTTTCTCGTCAATGGAATCAAATCTTTTTTCATTGATGTTAGTACTTGGCACGACTGCGCCTAGTAAATAAAAAATAGTCAAAGACTGTGTCAGTCACATATCACTTACGGAAGATCCTCCACGATTGCAGTCTGACACACCTTTGAGTGATTTAACTTACGAGACTTCAGCAGCACAAAACGGCTTAATAATACACGTCACAGTTATAATTTCTATTTGAGTACAATTGATTTGTACCTGAATACACCCTACAGTACGTAATGTCGAGCAGCCTTCAGCAGCTTTTCACATAAGCGCTGCACTGAGTGAAAAAATGACACAAATATTTCATTTTTGTTCCGCGCTTATAGTTATTTCACGATTATTCTCCTTCCGTCGGCTGCTGATCGGTAGGAGCCAACTGATGCACCGAAAAACCACCAACCAACTGGCTAGGTTTTATATTTCTACCCAATTTCTCAGTGCGGTCTTAAGTACATGGGAGATACGAACTATTCCGACGATGGAAGAAGCCACATTTCAGAAATCTGACAGTTGCAGAAGCGAGTTGCAGTCCTCTGGTGAGATCTGTGCCAGAATAGACACTCTCAGAAAAGCAAGTGGCAAAATATAAAGTCGAAGATCTTTTGCTGATACAGAAAGAATGTGAAAAAAATTTCAACGGCACCGTCCGCTTGCTTCTAGCCGCCCAGAGTACATTTAAACTTTGTCCATACGGTCCCTTAGGCGGCTAGAAGCAAGGGGCACGTGCCATTGCGCCGTTTCAACCCGGTATCAAAAGAGAACAAGTTATCATCGTTATTATCAATTTTTTTTCGATCCATTGCTATATGAAAACTTTTGTGCCATATCGCCACAGAATCATGATTTTTACCCATGTTGCTACAACACCTTTTTTAGCTCATGCTGTCATCTAAACTAAAACTTCCTACGGGCTGTTTGCTTCCTCGTGGAATCCAATCTAATGTTCCGTTTGTTCCGTGGTTGTCGATCTTTCTTGCAGTTTCCCGTTCGTTGTAATTTCAACCGTGTTGCTCTTACAGCTACATCAGTCTGTTCTGTTTCTTTATTTACGCATTCTTCCTTCTTCCTATTTCACCTCGTTACTCATAAGATGCGTCTTTCTGTGCCGTGTTGCGTTTATGTTGTTTATGAATGGCTTTTAGACGTAGAGATCCCGCTGCGTACCCATACGTTAGCATCATGAGCAAATACTGATCGAAAATCTCTCGTTTCAACCACAAGGACAGTTTCCTGTATTAGTACATTTCCAATCTGCCAAATTTGCTGCACGTAACTTTTATTGTCTTCTGTTGCTTTCACAGAGTCGGTTCTCCCTTTCAGGGATGTTGCAATTTGCACATCTTTAAGTCTGATTCTATTGATTTCAACAGATAGTCTTGTCAGGTATTTGTTAAACATTACCTCATTTCTCCTCAGGCTTATTTTCACTCAAGTTTTAGTATTAGTATCGTTCAGCTCTTAGTTACTTCTCTGGACCTTTATTAAACGTTGCATGGTATTGAAAACAGCGTAGGTGTTAAATCGTTGATCCACATGCTGAAGATATTTTATCACGTTCTTACTGAGCATGGCTCTTACTGTAATCCGTGCCTATGTTCAGGTTTCTGGTGGGAGTTGTCTTGTAGCTTTAAGCTAGATAAATTAAGCTTTAACACAAAGGCGAAGATTTTACATCCGAATTCAATTTCTGTTGCTTCTTTAACCAAACTTTAATGGTTCCTGACAAGCACGGTCAATTTAGTTGATCTCAGTCACATTGTTTTGTGAGACGTTACATCCTCATGGAATTTTTAGCTGATTGAAAGAATTGAACTCCAGACACTGTATTAGTTCCCTCTGGAAAGCATCGTGATGCGAAATGCATGAGTTCAAGCATGATCATCATCTGAATGAAAGGGGGTTGATTCTGGCACGAAGAAATAATAAACCACATTCAAGTGAGGGGCTGTGTATCTCGAAACAATGAGATCTGTGGGACGTCGAGTGACGTAGATGCTACTGAAGATTTTTTCTCTGCCAGAGAAACCTTCAGTATTCCAGGCGATTTGCCTCGTACTGAGGATGTTGTTCCAAACAAACTGCAACACTGAACATCCTGGGTGTAAATTGCAACTGATGACTTGGATCCGTTGAAAAATGCAGTTACAGCAGTGGGCTTGTCCGAAGTTCGATGGACTGGAAAAGATTTTCAAACAGCCCCCGATCACGGAATTATTTTTAAGCACTCTTGAAGAAATCATTGCCACCCGGATAAAGAACTTTGCAGTCAAATGTCTGCCGCCATCGCAGAGGAGAATGCTTGATTCGTGGTCACTTAAATAGTGTCTTATACGTCATTCCAAACATGACATTTTATTTGTAATGTCCAAATTTAATTCGATGTCGATCTCGGGGCATACCTCATGGAAAATATGTCTCAAGAAGTTAGCTGAGACAAAATGAACGGGGCAATGAACTAAGACGTGAGCATTCTGCAATCGGCTGATGACAAAGAACACTTGCTTCCGCACCACTATCAAAAGAGTTAGCGTAGAAATCACCACGCAGGGAGGCATTCAGTCAGTTGGCTTTGGTTTTGGCATCATGAAAGTAACGGAAGGATGAACTCTACTGAAAAACCTACGTCGAAACAGCTATGAAGACGTTGAAAGAGAAATCAATCTCATTTCGGCGAATTTGGAGAATCATTTCGTTCTTTAAAATATGAAGCAATAATATTAGACAGAAGTCAAGAACTGCACCAACAACATGTCTTCTAAGCAGGCACACTCAGCTCAAACAAAGCAACGATATTTGAAGCAGCATTGAATACCGTTCCCCTCATAAACAACGCTGCAGTTCCTGATGGAGTGTTGCACCGAGTATAGCAACGAGCAGGAACACAAGGCAGGAAAGCTTGTAAACGTTGGAATGTTAGTCTTCCCATTTTCTGGCGCCCTTATTTTTTGATGTTACTGGGGGTACTGATCTCCGCTTCTACGAGTACCTTATTTTTTGAACGCAGGGTTGGCTGCAGCTGCCTGGCAAGTATTGTGTGTAGTCACACCTGCATTGCACTTTTCCTATTATTGAGGATGAAATCGATTCATTCTAAACGCCGTTTGGGTCTTTCCATGTCCATCTGTTGCTCATATTTTTTTGAAAAGTGTTCATGATAAGTACAGACCGAATGAGATATATAAATCACGTGTTCATGTTCAATAAATTTGGCGAAACGCCACAAATTACATTCGGTCAGCGCCCTGCTCAAAGTTCTAGGCGGTATTTCTAACGGCCTATCTTTGATGACATGGTTCTTCTGAGGTCTCTGCAAATGGCCCTCTGAAACTACGAACCTCATATGCAACGCAGTTTTTGAAGTGCGGTTCAAGTCATAGCCAACACCAAAAGGATAAGACTGTGAAGGCGACCGTCGGATAAAACCTATTTCATTGCCGGATGCTCTAACACTATTTGAATCTGGCTTGATAAAAAACTGACCGAATTATAGCACTCGGCGAAGGACGTATTCGACGGAAGTTCCAAACGTAAAGGTGCTGAACGTGTTCAGTGCAGGGAGCGACCACGAGTTCGGCAGATGTAAAGCAAACTTGAACTAGGTTTGAGAAAGAAGGAAATTACTGAGGACGTGACGCAAGTTACTGTACGTAGAAGTGCCAGTGAGGAACCTCCCGCTATTCGAACTTACATTAAACAAGCGATTTTCATTCTCCATGGGCTGGAAGGCGAAAACGTGGAAGAAACAATGGACATTAAAGAATACGTCAAGGTAAAACGAGGGCAGTTACAAAAATGGCGGAAAACATCTCTAAAAGAAGGATTGTGAAAGTCAGCATAAACGTCATGAAGAAAAGTAAGGAACTCATGTAAAGAAGCGAAACGAAATGAAGACAGCAACAATTCAGAAATCAAGGGACAAACACATTTGACTGTGCAAAACTTTAAGGATGTTTGAGATGGTGACATGGATGAAGACGTCTGAGCATTCAACTGCGGGATAGAAATGGAAGTCATAAAGTAAATCGACGATTGATGGCCGGAAAACGACAATTCGTTGCCCTGAAAGTTGATGCCGAAGCGACATTAGGTAAAGACAAGATATTCTGAAGAGAGTAAAAGATTTCCATGGAAACCTGCACAATGATAAAGATGGCAACACCCTTGGAGATGATGAGAATCCTGAAATTGCATACAAAATTGACGAAACTGCAGTCATATTGCCATTAGAAGTGTTATGTACAATAAAACAAGCGAAGCAAGGATAATGTTTATAATCCTAACAGACAAACTTATAGTGCAGCTGGTGGAGTCAGGAGGTGACGCACTGACCGCATATTAACGGGGTGGTTTTCATGCCGTCTGAAGTAACTAAAAATTCAAAATGATGGATTATCGATTCGTGATTCGACCTCACGAAAAGGGAGATAGAGGATTGGCACTTCTTAGGGCTGATCAGTTTTTTTTTATAT